TGAGGCGGGCTTCCCCGGGCAGCTGGTGCTGGGGGCTCTGCGGGGGGTCATCCTGTGCTGCCTCCGGAGACTGCCCTGGCAAGTGCTGTCACAGTGGTCCGCACACCCCTGCGGCTGCACCTCAAAGCAGGGGCAGTGGGAAGACAGGGCTTTTAAATGGAGACAAAAGCAGCAGCGTTAAACTCCAGGCCAGGCAGCCACGGGGGTGGGGGGCGAGTTCAGTTTTCTGTGAGGCTAGTGACCACACACGTTCGTGAATGCGCTTCTGGTAACGGGTGGCGGTTGACTCCTTGGGTAAACCTGATCTCTTGGATTAGACCAGCTCACATAGTTGGAAAACTTCTTCTCTGCAAGCTTTTGGGTTTAAATGCCCTTGGTCAGGCAGAGGACGGGTCTGCAGTTGGTCTGTGCTCTTCCTGGATGTCAATGCCCATTCCATTTTCATAGATGTCATAGACATTAGGGCTGGAAGGGACCTTGGAAGATCATCGAGTCCAGCCCCCTGCTCCAGGGGCAGGAAGTCAGCTGGGGTCACAGGATCCCAGCAAGATAAGCATCCGATTTTTTCTTGAAGGCGTTCAATGCAGGTGCTTGAACCACCCCTGATGGCAGGCTATTCCAGACCTTGGGGGCTCGGACAGTAAAGAAATTCTTCCTTATGTCCAGCCTGAAACAGTCTGGTAATATTTTGGTAATATACGTTCAATTTAGGACCTGCAGGGAGTGAGGTATTAGAAAAAGGCACGTTAGCCTGCTTTAACGCACATTAGAGAAAGCGTGTGGGGTTTTTGTGACGTTTGAATGTGCCTTAAAATAGGCGACGGTGCATTAAAGTGCATGTGGAGGCACACCCTGTGGTGCTGAGGTTGCACGGAAAAAAGAGCCCTGCCGCTCTGCAGTGCTACGGCTAGGTGTCTGGGATGGGGCAGACGAAAGCAGCTACCTACTGACCAAAGTGGGTGGGCGTGCGGTTCTGTTTGTAGTTTGCCAGTAGGGTCTGGCCCACAATGACCTGATTTGGCAAGAACTGATGCACAAACTAAAGTGAGCAGAATCAGGGCCATGTTAACACCCCTCCGTAAATTTCTGTAGGGCTGGAGCGTGCCTTGGTGATAATACATGGTATATGGGTATGAGGTAGTCATTATTTGAAGGTGTGGCAGCTTAAAGCTCAGATAATTGTGGGAAAACAAACAACATGGGTTAAAAACAGGCACAAAATAACCCATGGAAACAAAATGCAGCATTAAGGTTACAAGCAAGGGCTTCCCATTGCCAAACACAAGCCATAAATGCAAAAGGACACATATGCAACATTGAAACCATGGAAGATAAGGCAACATTGTACTCTTATTGCCTGTCTTCCAGTGTTCATGAGTCCATTAGATTTAGATGGTACCTCAGTATGTGTGATGTGCTGGTTGTTACAACCTTAGATTTTTATGATTTCAGAAAATAGTTGGGAAAGAGATGAGGGGACAGAGTTTTAATTCTACTTTTTTTTGATGTGTGTGTTTGCAGTTTCAGAAAACCAAAGAAATGTACCACTCTGAAAACAAAGGACTGGTCCTAGGCATCATGGCAGGGGCTGCTGCTGCAATAAGTTTCTTCCTGATTTGGTATCACAAGGTCCGAAAACCTTGGGCATCTATACATTTGCCTGCATTTCTGGATTTCGACAACAGGTTTCATTTTGTGGGCTTACAGAATGAAACTCACAATGAATCGGGAACCGTAATGACCTTACATGGAAGACAGCTACAGGTACTGGAGAAATTGAATGGCCTAGTAATTAGTGTGGAAGAACTGAAGAGAGAGATAAAGTTTCTTAAAGAAGCTATTCCAAAATTGGAAGAGCTTGTTCGAGATGAACTCCAAGGGAAGGCCAATGCTCACAGAATTAGCCCTTCACACAGAGCAACAAAAAAGAGAAAAGCAGAGACAGCTCGTGGTACACCAGACAACGCGAGCTCTGAGGAGGCAGAAAGTGAAGGAGGGTGAGTCTTTAAAATAAAGAATATGTAATACAACTTAAAATATCTATGTGGACAAAAGAAGTGTCACCACACATGTAAGGTTGTTATGTTCTGTATGCAATAGTCTAATGTATTTATGTGTACTTATTACACATTCTGTTTCTCAAGATTCAGGAGAAGCTTTCCAAAAGATTACAATATGATTTGCAAAGCTAGTTTAGTGATTTGCCTGAGGCAGTGTTGCCAACTCTCATGATTTTTGGCATTGTTCTTAAAGTCTGCACCTATATATAAAAGAAAGAACTACATTTTTCACATTACTGAAGCGTAGACTTTAAGAACAACACCAAAAATCATGAGAGTTGGCAATCTGTAGTGCTACTGTATGTACCTCTGACCAGGAAAAAAGAGATGTGCCTGTAAGCAGAACCTGTACTAAACCAACCCCCTCTTGCATTCAGGATCTGTCCTTTAATTGTATCTTTGCACAACTGCATTCAAGAACTCATGCTATTTTTACTCCTGCCTGGTCAAAAATTCACCAAGACATTTTTCTGTTGATAAGTTCCATTTTGTCAAAAATGAAATTTTCCATGGGCATATATGTTGACTTCAACATTTCATTTAGGAAAAAGAAAGCCATTTATCGGGATGGAATATTGGATTGTTCTGTTTCAAAATGTATTTTGATTTTGTCAAAACAAAAACTAATGATTGACTCAAAATTCTTTTGAAACATTTATTTTTAAAATTAAAAAAAAATTAATTCTCATTCAGGATAAAAAAAATGCTGAAATTGAGGACTTTCCTGTAAAACAGAGATTCTAGTCCCCACAGAACTCTAGTCCTAATCTTGTTTTGGAAGAATCCTAAAACACTACAATTTCAGCTGGGATGGGTACTATAAACTCTGTCAGAAATTTGTCACTTATTCCTGGATCATTCTTTATGGGCTTCTTGTAGTGCCTGGCACTTTATATGTTTTGCATTTAGAGGACTTTACAAATGCTGTTAATTGTGTGCTTCGCTCCCCCTCGCTGGAGAGGTGGTGATGTTGTATCCTCAGTGCTTCTGCTTTCTGCTGGCTTGGAGATACAGAATCTGGCCTTTAGGTTATGGTCTCAAAATAACCCTTGAAAATACCATTGTCACTGGGATGACAAAACTTAGAAAGGTTTTCAATGCTTAATTATTTTTTTTTGTTTCTGCTTTGTGAGTGGGAAAGATATATCTTGAAGAGATCTATAAACCTTTTTAGGCACGTATACTCATGGAATAATATGCTAAACTTCATACTTTAGTTTTTAAAGGTATTCATTTAGTAAAGTCAATACAAATTGATATTCAGCTATATAGGCTATCAGTGGTATGAATGCAAAAGTTCTGGAATTCTGTGTATGGTTTAAAAATGTTTTTAGCATGGAAGCGCTTTAAATCTTGTTTGAGATGCAAAAGAAAATATTGTCAGAGAATCTCTAGGAATGCTTTATTTATGCATTTTTCTTTGATCAATGACTTAGTGGCATTACATTTGAGTAACTGAGTCATTTTGTTAACAGATATTACATACTTTGGTGTTTATCTGAATGCTACTAATGCTGAGTTTATAACTTGAATATTGAAAATTACACTTTATGATCCATTATGAAAACTTGTTGGTGTAAGACAACCTTGTTGTTATGGCTAAACACTAATATATTACCCAGATGTATTTTAAGCCATATGTAGGGTAATTTGGCAAGGAAGTTAAACAGGTTCCTAATTTTAATAACATCAGACAATGCCATTGAAATTAATATGACATAAGCACCTATGTATTTAAGTTGGGGCATATACTAAAGTATGTACCTTGCTCAGATGGAGGTTAGGACAGACTGTTTCTTCATTTGTTTCTCTATAGTCTAGCACACCCTTTGGGAGATGATGTAAAAATGATGAATAATGATGGTGGTAAGGCCAGCAAGATTGTTACAATTGTATCTACAAAGGAGAAAAGATCATATCAAAAGCAGGATAGAGTAGTAATATGCACGGTGGAACTTTTTTATGCAAATAACTCAGTATTATAATTACCAATCTCATTTGATATAAATAAATTAAACACAAATACTCAGATTAGACATGGCTACTCTCACATTCTGTCACTGGTTTTGGATTAACTCAGGCTGTCCACAAAATAACTCATTTGTGTCCTGAGCAATAGCATCCTGATTGTCTTGTTCTTTTGGAGTTTTTCTTATTGTTGATGTTGCAGTTATTGTCATTTTATTTAGTTTTTATGTATAGATTTTTTTATTCCCGTCAGAATATCTTTGATGGAATCACAAGCTACTTAAGAAGGATGAGCAGAGCAGGCAGGTTGTGTTATGGAGCTACCTGTCCAAAGGAATGGTTGCAAAATCTGTCTTGGATACACTGATGCAGTGTTATTGGAGAGGAGGCAGAGGAATCCCACTGTCAACTCTGTACAGGAAAATCAGAAGAAATCAAATGTTTCTGAGGTTGGGTGTTGAAAGAGACTCACAGAGGAGAAGTAGGTGAGAGTCTGGCTGTTGTAGGCAAACAGCTTGCAAAAAAGTTACCCAGGAATGTTGTCCATGATCTAAAGAAAGACCATTTTTATGATCTATTTGGGAGTTTTCTGAATTTCTGAAACTATTTGTGCTTCTTTTGGATGTATTTTTAAAAGCATGTCTATGCTTGCCCTGGAAAGAAAGTTCACCAAGACCAAGGTTTAAGCAAAACCAGTCAATAGGTATCCTAAAACAAAATTCTTGCTGTACATTTTCAGTTTCTTAGAGGTTTCTTGTTTAATCAAAATGCCACGAGCCAGCCCTGTTTCCATTCTGCAGCTTAATAGTTTGCAAGCTCCAAGAGGACAACAAAAAACAAAACTGTGTCAATATTTCCTTGTGCTCTCCCATCTATATGTATTTAACTGTTGCTTCTGATAGATTGTAAGTGGTCTTTCTATTCTTAGTTTATGTAGTGAAGTGAAAAATAACAGGCTGCTCTATACATGAGAATGATGAAAACATAAAGACTCTGTCTACACCCTGTCCTATCATTTGGACGCAATTAAAGTTTTATTGCCATCATACTTTAATTGTGTCCAACTGATAAGACAGGGTGTAGAGAGAATCTTTATGTTATCATCATTATCCTCAATCCAACCCCCTGCCTAAATCAGGATCACCCGTATCCAAACCATCCCATATAACCATAACCTAAACTCTACTTAAGACTATGTCCTGCTTCTATAAAATGTTGTCAATATATGCTCAAGAGGTCTGGGGGGGAACTTGGGGGGGATTTTTTTTTTCTTTTTCTGCCTTTAACTTTTCAGAGTAAAACTCATCTTGAATATTATGGTTTGGAAGCCTACTCTTTTTCATCTCCAATTTAGGTTCTGGTACATCTTTAGATCTTTGAACTGTCCTTTGTGAAGCCAACCAGCATTCTTATTTTTCAGATGTTTTTTCTCCCTTAAATTCATGGGAAAGTAATTCTTCCCAAGTACTTGCTACTTATAGAGAAAGTGATATCCCTTGTGGAAAGATTAAGATTTCCTGTTTTCTTTATTAAATATGATGCTGCATTATATATTTTATTTTGTTTTAATAACTAATTCCAGTAATTTTTGTTACTAGTATTTTAAAAAGAATCATTGGAACTTTCCCTTCAAGCAGTGTAGAATCCTACTTGCATTTTAAATGAGATTTTTCGTTTGTGTAGACTTTTTCTTTGATCTATCCACGATCTTTCATGTTTGTTTTTTTTCCCTCAGAGAATCCTTCAGTATCACAGTTCATCCTTAGACTGATTCTTATTAAACAGCATAAGAGACAAGACCCTGCCTACAAAAGTAAACTAATGAATGTATTGATGTTTCACTATATTTAGGAGTGTTACATCTGCTAGTGTGTTGCCTAAATGCTCACTGCATTTAAGTCCTTCTGTTGTTTCTCAGAATCTTTTTTTGGTTTTTAATAACCCCCCACAAAAGTATTCCCAACCAGCCAACTTTGTTCTTATCAGAAAATGCATTTGACTCACTGTGTGCTGACTCTTCCAAATAATTAATTTATTCATTGTCATTGATCCCTGACTACCAGGACGTTCTATTATTACCCTTATTCCACCCTGCAGTTCACAACCAATTTTTAACCACTTGTACAAGTAAGCAAAAGTCGCATTGTACTCCTAGAAATCCTCATTTATAAAAACCCTTGCTTTTAATATTTCAAGACGCACACTTGAGTGATAATGGCTGTCAAAAACAGGCACAATTAAAGTACATTTTTTCATTTCAAGAGGCACATAAGAAAATATGAATATCGGGTTGCATTATGCATATGTATTTTATTAAAGATTGGTTACTACACTTATGGCAGGTCTTATACCCAGATATTTAGTGAGTTTCCTTGTATTGTTTGATACAACCTTTTGCAGGCTAAAATCAGGTAAATTGCCTAGGAGCTGTCATATTTGTTATATGACACTTTCATAAAACCATAATGAATCTTCATCTTTTTTTAAGGAGACTTTTCTTTATATTTAGTCTCTTTTGAATTTATTACAGCATGTGTATCTAGTGTATGCAGTTAAGTCATAGCATGAAACCTTGTAACATGCATGTAATTTTTAGAGCAAATATCCCGTAAAAGCCTGCTAACTTCCATTGTTGAAATCAGCAGTCTGGCTCCTCTTATTATATTTCATGCATGTCATTTCTTCGGTGTTCTTACTTTGTTATTTAACAATTGGAACAGTTCCCCTCCTTGAGGTAGAACTGGCTGTAATTCAGACTGATGAATTGCAGCTAATCTAAGTTTCATGAGAAAATATCTTTATTTATTAGTTCATTTTGAAAATCTGCATTCTCTTCTTTGTGGGTAATGCTTTCATACTGAAAATATTTAATATATAAGAGAGATAGGGAGGAGATTAGCTAATGAGTAAATTCCTAAGTAATTTAAAACAAAAAAAATAATAGATCTTGGTCCTCAGTTTTGCATTTGGGGCCATGAGACACAGCAGCAGAGGTGGTCTTCTGTGTTCCAGAAAGCATTTGATGCCTCCTTCCAGATTCTTGCCAAAAGCTGCCTCCTGTTGATCTAGCTGTAAATAAGTACATAATCTTTTAGGCTTGGGAGTCAGTGGTGGCTGGACATGAGGCTAGCTGTATTGCTCCCTTGTATGCTGTTGGCATAGACACCAAAGTTTCTTAACCGAGCTTGCCTGATGGGCCTTTAGGCTTGGGCGTACTTTTGACTCAAGTCCTGTAAATGATTAAACTGATGCCTAACTGTGTACTCAAGTAACCCTGTGGACATTCTTTTCAGAGAGAGCTACTAATAAGGATAAAGTTAAACACACGTAACTCTTCATGGGATCAGAACCACAGATTGTGTTCTCTTTGGGCTGTATGGTTTTGGGACAACTAATTTCTGTGCCTTTATCAGAAAATGATGTAAGGCTCAAGCCAGGAGAAGATTTTAAAAGTTCTATACTTTGGATTGTAGATCAACCTTCCCCTTTGACAGTTGTATAGGTTCCAAGCTCCTTGGTCAATCACCTCATTGCTTCATGACCCCTTTTCAAAAGGAACAGAGTAGTTATACAATACATCATCCCAAATTGTAGGGAACATACAAATTAGGTCTGGAAGTGTCCTCTAGAAGTTGGCTAGTCCATCCCCTTTTCCCAAAACAGGATCCAGTTATACCTAAACCTTTCCTGACTGGTATTTGTCCAATGTGTTCTTTACAATCTACTATGATAAAGATTCCACAGCCTCCCTTCATAATCTATTCCAGTTATTAACTCACTTTACAGATACAAGATTTTCCTACTTCTTTTCTTGCCTATAGCAGATAAGAACCGTTTATAACCTTCATGCCCCACTCTGCCCCAGCTGGGCAGCACCTGCCCCACCCCCACTCCCACACCATGCAGGCCTCGATCTGCCCCCCCCCTTTCTCTTATGCCCCTTCCCCCCCACAAACTTACTGGCTGGACACTGCTCTCCAAGTTACCAGGCTGCATTCCTAGCCACATGCATGCTGTGGCTGCATGCATGCACACGGCATTTATCAGTGACATTATTGGCTACACCAGCCAAAAAAAGCCGATTGCCAGTAATGTCAATTTTCCTTCTATTGGTGCAGATCTGATATGGACTGATATATCAGTGTACCTCTACTCTATATATAACTTGTGTAAGGGTACACAAATGCAAGGAATGGAGATGGAGATATTGTGCATGTCAATATTAATATAGCCTAAGAGAGTGATTTTTTTTCTTGACAACTTTTTGAGTCCGAAGGAAATGATGTGCATATACCTGATTCTTTCCCAGCCTTCTGTATCTTGCCCTCTTCCCCTTCCTCTAACTCACACCAGGGAGTGGCAGGTGAAAGATGTTATGTGGATTGATGCAGTATGCTCTGACTTTAGGAGGTTATTCTTCCTTGATATTTTTATGTTCTTGATGAAGTTTATTCAGTCTTAGAATACCCGCAAGAAAATATTGCTCAGCTGTGAAACAGTTATTTTCACTCTGAATGCATTTATCATATGACCTATCTGCATTTCATATTTAGTAATGGTAGATTTATACATTACCCTTTTGGAGGTCTCTGATGGTACTAGCTCTGAGTGGTGTGCATGCAGCTCATCACGTTTTTCTTGTTACAATTGTCCATGTCTCAGGAAAGACAAAGTTCTTAGAAGCAAAAAAGTTTTTTTTTTTTTACAAGTGAAGATATATTTCCACTTCTTGTCCTTAATTGGAGCACCAGGACCTTGAAAAATCAATTCTTTGTTGTACATAAAACTCATTTAAACTGTAGGAAGTATATGATGTCATGCTGAGTAACTCTTAAATCTAGTTTTATTGTTCACAATATTATGCAGGAACTTGTAGTTCCAATTACATTTACTGTTTCATTATTTCTGCTTTGACATTTTCTAGCTCCTAACTTTTCCTGCTGCTGGTTAAACAAGGTTTTAGTAGGTGCATAGAAGTACACAAGATGCTTTATTGTTCAGTAGACTAATCTACTGCATAGTAAAGTGTCACTATTAAACTGTTCACTAGGCTACAGCACAGTAAAATAGGCTAATACGAAGTTATCTACTACTTGAAAATACAGGTAGTAAATTAACTGTGCAGTAGCTACTGCACAGTAATGCACATGTAGATGCTGGCCAGGAGCAATTTGCTCCTGTCAGAGCTGATTTGGATCAGTGCCTCGACACAGTGGAACTTTCCAGCACAAGGCACGGTAAGGCAGCAGAATCCTCGGCATGGTGAAGAGTTCCGGCGTGGATAGAGTTCCTGCCGAGGATATGCAGATTTGCATAACACGATTGGCCGATGTTAAATTATTCCCACGTGGCGGCTGGCAATTGGCTCGCTAGCCGTATAAAAGGTTAGGGGCGTTTCTGCCCTAGTTTGGAGAACTCCGCGATTTCCCCCGGAGTGGAACTCTGGCAGTTTGATCACCTGTCAACGACTCCCCATCGTCGAAGCCTTACAACGTATTTTCCGTGTTGCAAGCCCGAGTTAGACCCGAGCTACCCGGTCTACAAGAGCTCCTCGATTAGCGACTAGAGATTAGAATTGTTGCAACTATGATTGAAGTGCGAAGTCGCTTCTTGCCTGCGCTGTATACGACTCTACAGTGTAAGTAAAGCTGTCTCTGTTTTTTCCAGCTGTTACATGTCGCGTCTGTGCCTAATTCCGCTCCGGTGATAGAGAGTACCCATCTACCCGTCACGGGATCGCAGCCGCAACCCCAGCTAGCGTTCCCGAGGATTCCCGATCCTCAGTCCCCCCTCGGCCCCCACAGCTCCCAGGCAGCCCAGGCAGCAGGGGGCCCACTGCTGCTTGGCTAAGCCTCATGTGGCAGGAGCTATCTCCCTGCCACATGCGGATCGGGACTGTCCTAATCCCCACATCGCTGGGAGAGCTGTCCTGGAATCCAGGACTGCTGCATCCCAGCTGAGCAGGGATGGGTCAGGACCCAAACCCAATGTGACTGGGAGGGGATGCTGCCTGGCAGTCGCATGGGGATTGGAAGGGTCCTGATCCCCACATGGCCAAGAGAGGCATGCCTATCCAGACCGATCCCCACTTGGCTGCCAGGCAGTGTTCCCCTTGGGACACCTCTCCTGGCCACATGGGGATTGGGTCCAATCCCCATGTGGCTGGAATGCAGCAGTCTCAGCTGCCAGGACAGCTCTCCCCACTCGTGGGGATTGGGGTCTTCTCTAACATCAGAGCAGGGCAGGGAAGCAGGACCATTCCTGATGTCATCTGCTTCAGTTAGAAGAACATTTGCTCCCAAGCTGGAACACGTGTAGACCCTTTCCTCAGTGGCAATTTAGTGCTCCTTTTTTAATGTGCAGTAAGTTTACTGTGCATTAATAGCACATGTAGATGCACCCAGTGTTCATTGCAGAAATATGTGTTATACTCAAAGTGCTGTCTAAACTGCCTGTTGTGGTTTCTACTAATATTTATATAGTCTCTTGTACAATAAATGTTTAAAACATACTTTTGTGCTTTTTCTGCTTGTGGTAATGTTTTGGAGAGTTTTCTGTTCGATAGCAAATACATTTTAAAATATTATATCTAGAGATTGTTTCTTAAGCATGAGTTGTTGTTTTTTTCAAAAAGGGTACTAAATGTTAGACTTCCTTGTTTGTATTTATCCAGCTAAGTAAATAGCTACACTGTCAAGGGTTCTGAACATCCATTGGCATCAGTCACTCGTATCTACTGGGTCCTCAGTACTTCAGTAAATTAAAGTACTTGCTTATCTGTTGCATTCTTCATTAATTGTGTTTTGCTCAGGGCTCATTCAGTTGAATCAATTAACTGGTATAATTAATTTGACCTCTTTTACAGGGTCAAATAATCCAATTTTTTGAATGCACAAATATATTAATTGCACTAATCATATTACTTAGCAGGCAAAAAGCATTTGTTATCTTTAAAACATTTTGTATTTGTGCAGCATTCTTATATGGTTGGTTAGTATTTTCACCTCCTTTTCACAGACAGGGAACCAGATGATTTGTTCTAGGCTAAACAGCTATTATTAAAAACAAATTTAGAATTCTCAGAATTCCTGGTCTAATGGATAGTGCTTAGTCAGGAGTTCAGGGGTTGGCAGCATTTTCCAGCAGTAGGTCAGAATGACCCAGTTCATGCCATAGGCAGGTTGGAGTTAGGACCCAGCCATTGCTGCTTCTCTCTGCTGCCCAGCTATAGCATGGTATGGGTGAAGTGTCCAGCTGCAGTGCAACACATGGCCTTCTTCCACCAACCATTACTGAAGCCTGTGCTCTATAGGCTGGATCCAATGACTCTGTGGGCCAGATTGGCTGTAGGTTGCCAACCCCTGCGCTAGACTATATCTGTTTCTGATTAGGAATTGTGTCTGCAGGCTCGTAGAAAAAATCCAGCAAGATTCTTTACCAAACTTAACTGTGATTCTGTGTTAGTGATAGTGTTCAGTTTAGAATATGAACACAAACTTACCCTGAGCAGAGCCACATATCTTTAAAGCTGAGAAAGTGACAAAAATTGTTAGTTACAGTGTCCTGTGACACTTTGTTGGTATTTTTAGAATAGGTAATGATTGTTTCTGTGTTTTAGTTATATTACAGCTCACACTGACACTGAAGGAGAATCTGAAGAAGAAAAGGGATGGGTTATTTCATCTGGAGCCACTGTTGTGAGATCAGAAGAAGAAACAAAATTAACAAATCTTCTACAGAATGTGGACCATTTGCATGGTGGTTCAGTTGATGATAAAAAGAAGAGCTTCAGGCTGTTACTTGAGGAAAAGGAACAGGTATTAAGTGATAAGTGTCCCAACATTAGTTTCATAGTCCTATCTTAGGTTCAGAACTGTACATGTCATCCTTTTAACTCTTTGAAATGGAAGGAGTAGGGACATCTAAAAGATAGATTACTTTTTGATATGTCCTTCAAAAGATGTCCTTCAAAGTCTTTGAAAGGATCATCAATACTTTTATTCACGTAGCAGTAAGGCTTAAGTGTTTTCTGTTTTACCCAGGTTAAACTGAATAAAAGCTCTATATGGTAAAAGCTCTTCATGAAGATACTTGTCACAGACTTTAGAGGGTTGAAACAATTTTTTCTGATTTGAAATTTATCTGCATGGAAAACTCCTATATAGACTTAAATAAGAATCAAAATATCAGAATTCTAAAGGCGTTTAACACAAGGGTTTATATAAATGACAGTAAAAATTTGCAGACAATACACTGAGGTCTGTGCCTTATGATAGTTTTATAAACTGAGCCTCTCTGTAGAGCTAAATAAAGAGTTGTTATTTTTGTGTAGTTTTTAAAAGCATCCTATTAAGTGCAGTAGGAAGTATATGATAATCTCTTAGCATTGAGAGGACGGTTTGAAAAATAAAACAAGGAAAGTTTATCATTTTCTGTTATGTGCTCTAGAACTTCTTTAGTTAAGTTTGACCCTTCAGCCCTTGTGCACAACAAATTTCTGGTGGGCCTTTTATGTATAGTAATCAATGCTGTGGTTAATAGTTTCTTTTGATCTGACAGATATTAATGGTTCTGGTGGTATTCTTCATTTATGTGAAGGAAATATCTTTCTTGCTGGAAATATAGACAGATAAACAACTGTGCTGTATTAAAAGCAGGCAGAGGCCTTACCATGGTTCCACTAAATCTACTGTAACTTGTTTGTCTATCTGTTCTGTGGTAACTGAAAGCTAAACAGCTATGATTTTTAATTTGGGGTAAATGACCAAAGTTTTACTTCACCTACTCCAGAGTTTAAGTAGCAAGACAAAACAGTTACACTAGATCATCTGACATGTACTTGTATGTGGAAAGTACCCCTTACTCTTTATAGCAACGTAATTGTTTTGTCTGTCCATGGCAGCAGGTGTGATATTTGCTGGGTGTGAGTTAATGATGCTTGTTTTATGTATAAAATAAAATAACCTATTAAGTGACTGCATTACGCAATTTATTAGATTAACTTTTTATTTGTAAGAATGAACAGTTATAAAAGGCCCCTTCATAAAATAAAAGTTTTATATGTGTGTTTTCCACCAAGTTTTCCTATAACTTTTATGGAAATTATGTAAATTACATTTACATCCTGGTCAAATTAGTGGTCCAAAATCTAATATATCTGGTTCCTGTCTCTCCTTGCAGTATGGGAAACATGCAAGGTTTCTTTGGAGACTTGCACGAGCTTACGGGGATATGTTCGAGATGACTACTGATGTTGAAGAAAAGAAGAAATATGTTGCAAATGGTAGGTGGAATAGAAAAACCCGCTTCAAGAAAATGAATTTTGATGATGGTAGAAAGGCTTTTACTGTTAGTGGCATTTTCCCCGAAGTCTTTTAGTCCAACCAGTTTTACAGTCTGGCTTTATAATGATGGTGCTTTGACCTTAATGCAAATAAATGGTTTGTAGTTTGGCATCAGTTACTTTGTTACCCTTGATTCAGGAGAGGTCCAAAATTTGTTTAGCAGGGTTCTTGCCAGTAATGATTTGAGTACATTGGCTCCAATCAGTGCTGTAGACCTCTTACTTTAATAAGAATCATACTGACATGAAATTTTTAAAAATTGCGTGATAACAACTAAATACGAAAGCAAAGCCAAGATTTTTTTCCCCCTCAGGGCAAAAGGGAGGGTCCAGTGTTTCCTTCCTCTGACTGAGGCTCCACACCACAGTAACCCCCTCTGTGTGTGATGAAGAAGGTCAAACGCGGTGCTCTCTGGAGCCTGTGAACACTGTACTTCGGAAGCATTGCTAAGGAATGACAAAGCTGAACATGCTTCATCTGTTGTGTCTCAGCCTGTCTCTGTAACGTCTTCTTCTTGATGTCGTGTTGTCAGTTTTATCTGAGCATGGTCAGAATTGAATTTCTGATCTTTCCTTTCCACATCTCCTTTCCTCTGTCAGTTTTGAAAATGTTGCATCCCTTTCATCACTGAAGTCTTCACTTTGGGGTCATTCTCGTCTGCTCTCTTTCCTGTGTCCTGCACATTCAAGTTACGTCCAGCTCCAGCTGCTACTTGTCCAGTCTCTAGAATCTTCCTTGCCAAGTCTGAAAGTTCTCTCTTAAGCCCTTTTCATCCTGACTACAGCAAAATACTCGTCTTTTGCCTCTGATATTCACATTACTGTCTTCCAATCTCTACAACACGCTGCCGTTAAAATAATCCCCTTGCCTGTCTCCTGAAGAAGATTCACTCCAACTGACTTTCTTCTCCTCTACAGCAGTGGTTCCCAACCTTTTTTTTAACGTGGCCCAACCGGAGTGGGACAGGGCACACGGAGCCAGCTACCTCCTGCCCGGGACTCCCCTACTGCCCAACTTTAATCCTAGAATCTTAGCTGTGACCCCGAAAGCCGCGTGCCCGGGCAGACAGACGGGGGTCTGAGTGTGTGCTCTTGCTATGACCCGGCCGCCAACCCGCCATAGCCCAGTAGCAGGCCGTGGCCTGGTGTTTGGGAACCCCTGCTTTATAGCTTCACATTTAAACTTCTGTTTACTGCTTTTATGCCCCTATTTGCTTATTTTTGGACTCTGCCTCTCTCTACTCACCTACCTTTGTTTTGTTCATGGACTTCCATCAAATCCCTCTGCTCTTCCAGTGATGTCAGCTATGAACACTTGTTTGTCAGTTTCTCACACAAATGCCTTATTTCATGTTCCTTTTATTATGGCATGATCTTCCTGGGAGAGTCTGCAAGGGTCTCTCTGTACTTTCAAGTCTTTCTGGAGAATCATCTCTGTCTTAACATCAGTTAGTAACTTTCTTATAGGAATTATTTTGTGTCAAAAGTAATTTGGCTATGACTAATATGACCTTTTCATATAATTGTTCCCTCTGTTTCCCTGCCCGTTCGTTGACGTAGCTGTGTGTCCACTGTGACCTCCTTGGTGTTGGGGTAATCTCTTCTTTGTATCAGAAGTGACCAGCACAGTGTGGAATGTTAGAAATAGATAATACATTTGTAATAATGCGCCCAGGTCATAGTTTCTTTGCTGCTGCTTATGATTCGTTTTCACATTAGTTGATGAGAGATCATAATAAGAACATAAGTGCTGGACTGAGTCAGATGAGAGTATCCTGTCTCTTAGTGGCAGAGAGTATGTACTAAGAGGAAGAATATTTAAGCAGGGCAAATTTAGTATGGCATGGAAATCTCTGAAGGAGTGGAGGAGTACAAAGTACTTGCTAGATACCCAGGTAATCAGCAGTGTCACATCACAATCTTCTGAGTTATTTATGAATCGTGAAACAGCTGGGGGAATTCTGAATTGTAACGTTTCTTGCAGTATTTTTCATTTTTTCTTTTGGAAGTGGTGCAGAGAGAATTGCTTTTAAAGGGGATTTGGCAATAACTTGTGTTTTTTCATTCCAGCTGGTTGGAGGGCTATTTATGTTTCCCTTTGTTTTTATAAAGTTAATTTGTAATACAGAAAGGACCGTGTGGCTTAATTGGTTACAGCTGAACCTCTGGAAACATTAATTTTATCATCTACACTCCTTACTCAAGAGTGTAAATTTGGTTAACTCCCTTATTTTTTGTATTTTTCAATCAAAAGCAGAACTTAGTTGAAACTGTCTCGATTGCATCTGAATTGAAATACCATCTAATAGGGAAAGTATAAAAATTCTATGTAAGTGTTATGAATCCATAATGTTATGAAACCTTTCTTAATGTTTATGTGGAAAGACTGAACTTTGCTTTATATCTAGAGTATATTATCTAACTGCTTAGTTCTAAGATGAAGAAAAGAACAATAAATCCTTTCGAGTATCTTTATTCCTTTATACAGGAAAGATTAGTGCTGGAAAAGCTATTCAGTTGGATGCCATGAGTGCTGAAAGTCACCAGTGGTAAGTTTGCATAATGGAAAAATAATGTTTAGATTAGTGTTCTCTGAGAGTTATATCTCTGTACCAATAAATCAAACAACCCCCCCCCCCCAACTAAAATCAGCTGTAGACCCATTACTGCAGGCTTCATACTTTACTGTTGTAGATGATTGATTGGATCAATTGTCAGTTCATTTTTTGTTACTTGATATAGTTATTTACACAGCATTATGAAGTTACAGCTAATAATTACATTAAAATAGTTTGTGAAATACTTAGTATACCACTGAAACCTCCATGTGTAATGTAATTCTGTTGGTGTAGGACTTAAATTGGGTGAATGTCCATAAAAAATTAAAACTCCTTCCAGATCCCCAAATGAAGATGTTTTCACCATTATTCGCAAATTTTAATTTTTCCTCTACAAAAGAAGCTGTGAGGACAGGCAGGCCTTGCAGAATTAAATGAAGGTGAAAACATTTGGATTCTGGTGGACCAAAGGTGGAAGCTTACTCTGGATTTAAGAACCCCTCACTTGAAAAGCTACACTGCCAACCTATTGCTATTTAAAAGAGGGGAGTCATTTGTTTTAGTCTTGCACTGATCTCAGCTGTCATAAAATCACACAAAGAGACAGTCGATCTCTAAAGTGACTTATTACATCTGTTCTTTGTGGTCAGCACTACTGCCAACTGATTTCCAGGTTCAGTTTAAGTTACTGAATTCAGTCAATAAAAGATCTAAGTATTTGTGTTCCTCGTGAGAAATGCCACACAGGGAATGAGCCACTACATTCTGCGGTTGCAGATATTTTCTATAGTTTTATATTTTAAAATTCATGTCTTCTTTTTCCCCTATGACTTTATAGAGTCATAGAAATATAAGGCTGGAAAGGATCTCAATAGGTCACCAAATCCAACCCCCTACTTAAGGCAGGATCATTCCTGTCTAAACCATTCCAGTCACTCCTGTGTTTTTCTAACCTACTCTTAAAAACATTCAAGAATGTAGATTCCATGACCTCTTTAGGTATCTGTTCCAATGTTTAAGCACCCTCATAAGTAGGAAGTTCTTCCTAATATCCAACCTAAATTTACAACCTTTTTGTCATGTTATGAGTATTTCTTATCCTGTCCCCTGTGGCCACAGAGACTAGCTAAATGACAGAAGCATGAACGTGGGTAGGAGAACACTTTTCACAGAAGATCTACTCGATTTCTGGCTTCAGAATCTTCATGTTCCAGGGTAATCTACAGAACACTTTCAGAAGACGGGCCTGGAAACAAAAATGTATAATCTTATTGGACACTAAAGATGTGGGATTAAATGATGACATTGACTTCATGGCTTCTTACACTTTATGTACTTTCTCTGCTAATCTTTCAGCACAAGGGAAAATGGCCCTCTTCCTTCTTGAATGGTCTTGCTTTTCTAATAAGTTATCCTTTCTACTGCAGTTTTCTTGTCTTTTAGCTACTCCTGATAATGTGTCTCTGCTTTTATTTTGCATGCCACTTCCATTCCTTTTTTTAATTAAAAAATAATAATTTTGCAGCCTGTTTTTATTTACATATGGAGTTTCACCCAGGCTGTTGTTCTATCTGCTACTTAGCTGAAGCAGTCTGCATCTTCCCCAGACCTGAGGAAGGGTAGCTTTTGCCTGAAAGTTTGTCTAAGATATCTGCCAACTACACAGTTGGTGTAATAAAAGATATAACCCTAAAATTCTCGCCTCTCTCATATTTCCTCGATCATCACAGATATGCCATCATTCCAACACTACTATGTCATTGACTGGTTTCTACTGACCAAGCTCTAGATTCTAGAGCAGTGGTTCTCTAAACTCAGGGTTAGACTTAAGATTCAAGACTTGTTAGATTCAAGGTACTGCTCAGAAAATGCCAGCTCTTAGTTTTCCCTTGTTTTGTTGACTGTGGAAAAATAACAGAGCAATTTTTATTTTGTAAAGAATTCAGCAAGATCACAACAGGTTATATCAGCCTTCAACATATTTAGAGACTCTTTTATCACATCTTTCCCTCTTTTCTAGACTAAACAAATTCGATTCCTTCAATAGGTCGTGTTGGCTAAATCCTTATAATTTTTTTTTGTGCTCCTTGGGGGCAGTGTCTTTTATCTACATCTTTCTTAAAGTGGCATGCCCAAAATCCATGCCATACTCTAGCTAAGACCTAAATAACATCAGGGAAAGCAGAATAATTAACTTACATATCTCATGTATGACATTCTGTAAATATGTTTCAGAATGAAATTTCCTGTTTTTTGGCTTGTGCAGTTTCATGGTAGCCTTCAGATCCTGTTCTGCAGTAGTGCTGCCTAGTACTACAGTGTTCTTTCAAAATTTTAGAAGCTTATTCCTAATATTGGCTGCATTCACATCACAAAAAAGGTTCTGTCACAAACTTCCCTGACATAGTGGTGCCAGAAAAGCAGTGGCATGCATTCAATTTTACCAGCAAAAAAAAGTTTGTTTTGTCAGTACATTTCCTTTCACTTGGGAAAAGAATGCTTTTGCCCATGGAAGCTCTATCTTTCATAAGAGCATTTGCTGGGATAGCTTTACCAGCAAACTCTTTCTAATGTAGAAATGGTATAGCATTTTCTCACGTATTTTCCCTTCCTTTTTGCATCTGCTTCTTCAAAAACGTCCTGCATTTCACCATCAGGCTGCCTGTAAGAGCCATCTGATATACAAGTGGAGAAGATCATTTTTTTTTAAGACGAAAGAATATCCATACCAGATCTATTCAGTTTTTTGACCAGCAGCTGGGCCTGTGGCCAGTATTTGTCTTCAAATTAAATTTGTCAGTGGGCACTATGCAGAAGGAATTAAGCAAAAACATCTTTTACCAATAAGTAGGCCTTAGCCACAGATCTGTTTTGCAACTGCTAATAATATCAAGATTAATAGATGCATCCTAACTTTCTGCAGATGGTTTCCAGCCAAATTACAGAGCCTTCAAAGCTGCCTGATTTCTTGTATTGTAAAATGTTGCTTTTCAGGAAACTGTTGACAGTGAAAAATATAGCTGTAACCTTCAGTTGTTTAGTTAGTTCAGCCCCTTGTAATGTGGGATTAGAATCATAATATGTTTTTAGAAAATGATATAAATATTTCAGGTCTGCTTTGTTTAAATACAAAATTTTAATTTATGGAGAGTTTTCAAACTTTTGAGAGACTGTGCAAAAATTGGCACTTGCCAGTTGCAAAGCTTTTATATTTTTGGGAAATCTTCAACAGAATCTCGCTTGTGATTGCTCTGACTTAATACAAAGAACTGCTAGAAAAACATAGTAAAGTTAAAGAAAAAATTACTTTATTATATTAGAAGTCCCTTTTCCCCATAACTGACATGTTTTTCTGAAATTAGGAGAAAGCCCACTGCCTAACCTTTTGAAATTTTTTTCGGATGAGGGAGACTAGGTTACAAACTGCAAAAACCAGAAAGATTTCAAAGTACAGTCTGTTGTTGTCAGATTAGTTTACACAAAGTTTTCTGCCTTGGATGTGGACTACGGTTAGCCACAAAGCCAAGTGCTACAGTTAATATTTGAGGTTAGATTATTGAATGTACCAGATGACAGAAAGTTACATAGCCTGGGTACTCTGTTTAATACAAGTAGCTTTTTAAAGCAAAATGCCACGCAGTAAAACTGTTCCTACTACATTGATCTCCAACAGAGATGAACATTGAACAAAAGTGTAGTGCCATAATATGCAGCAAATTCAGGCTTTTTCAGATAGATCATCCGGAGACAAGAATTCCCTGGTTGGCAGTACTCCACAGAGAAGGCCCAGGCCCCAATATCTTGAGGATGTGGCTCCACTGAAGAAAACTGCAGTGCTTTTACTAAGGCCAGGGTTTCTCTCTGGTGGTGGTCTGTTTACTTGCCTGTTCTGACTGATACTTATGATGACAGCAAATGGAGAAGATGGAGAAAAATGTTGCCAAAGCAGCAAGTTTTATAAGATGTTATACATTAAAATCAACATCTTGAATTACTCCTAGCAGTGACGAGGAAGCCTGTACAGCTGAACAAGACCTATTGTAAATAGATCAATGGGGCAATCTTCTGTGTGATTTTAAGGGTTAGCTACTGTGGCTTTTATTTGTTGTGCAAAAACCAAGAGATACAGCCATAAACACAGGTACTATAGTACACACTGCAGTAATCCAGCCTGAAGGTTACAAAGGCATACAGAGGTTTAGATATGAGAGAGATGGTAGAGAACGCCTACCCAGAAGGTACTTGAAGATGTTTTACACTCTGTGGCAGGGTGACACTGTCGGTGCCTGACACTTTAAGGGCCGAACTAAGTGGCCAGCAGGTGCTTAATTGCGGGAGCTATTTTAGATCCATGGCTGCCTATATAAATGGGGCAGTTCGCTGCTGGCAGCCCAGGCCAGTTACCACCCTGGTGAAAGGCAAGTAGGGGCACCTTGACCCCAGCCCTCACCTTTGGGTGGGTCATATACCAACAGAGCAGGGTAGGCCAAGAAAGCTTCTGGAGGCACCTGAGCCTGCTGGGGGAGTGACCCCACAGGGCCAGGCATGCATCCAGAAGCACCTAAGCTGGGAATGAGGGACCCTGATCCCTAAGTGCAGGCAGGAGGTATAAACCCAACTGAGGGACTTGACTGGTCAATGCTGGGGCCAGGACCAGAAGGGTCAAAAGGGCCAGGGCCCACCGCCAGGGATGTCCATGATGAGCAAAGAAGCTCAGAGTCCCAACTGGCGTGAGACTGGGTCAGGGCTTACATGGAAGCTGAAGGTCCCATGATTGGGGCCACAGCTAATGGGCAGAGGGGATGGTTGAGCCAACTGCCTGAGATGCCATCTGCAAGGCTTCGGCCACGGTGTAGGGGTGGAATGGAACTGCGGATAGCCCCCCCAATACCGGGGTGTACAATGGGCAGCCTCCCACCTTAATTAACAACCTAATTAATTACAGCAAGGTGTAGCAGGCGAAACAGGTGGGCAGGATGCCCAGAGGCAGG